AAGCGAGGCCGGTCGCCGGAATCGAATTGGTATTGTCTTGCGGTCTCCGGCCACCGGTTCTCGTCTTCCACTTAAGCGCTTAATTGGATAGTTTGTGCACAGCTGTGTGGTCGTTGTCATGCCGGCCCTCCTGTGGGAATGGCTTTGACTCCAAAGGAGGCGGTGCATGAGAAACGGTTTATTTGTTGTTTTCGTGGTTTAAAAACACAAATAATTAAGTTGTGTTTGCGGCAGGATATTGAACACAATGAATCATTAAATTCAGAAATTCTCTATCCTATAATACTTGAAATATAAAGTACTGTATTAAATCTATTGATTTCGACGTTTGAAGTAACTTTCATAAGATATTTAAAGCTACGAACATCAATATATTTTTAAGAAAAAATACTTTGTTTACTCTTGTAGTTCATTAGATTAATTGGAATTGTTAACAAATAAACATTCTTCAAACTTTGTTTTTCCACAAACAAACTTTTTCAACAAAAGACACTGATATTTGTAAAATTATTTACCATATTAGTGATATTTAATTTCATATTTCAGTGAATTAATAAAGAAGAACGAATACAGACAATAGAGATATTATAATAATTGTAGTCTCTAATGTTCATTGCAGTTAAAGCGACCTAAAATTAAGTTATAAATTAAGAAAATCGTTATTTAGTAGGATGTGTTCTTGTGTAAACAATTAAAAGAAATTATTCAAAAGTATTTTTTAATGATGTATGAAAAAATAACTCTGATTATGAACATATTCTAATAATACTACTTTGGAATTCAAATAGCATGAAATAAAAGACCAATTTCATTCCCAGATAAATAAAACATAGTTGATATTTTCCAAACACTGCGCGTAACAGAATTTTTCAACCATATAAACTCGTTAATGTTCTGTAAACGAGACTCTAGTAATGGCATTTTGTGTGGCGACTCCGGGGGAACGTGCCAGTGTACGGCTTGTAACACGAGCCACGTGACTCTACCTGGAGGTGTGTGCGTGCGTGTGTGCATGAAGGAAGAGGAATACACGTGTGAAGGAGCAGTGCATGTGGCGGGTGAGCTGGAGGAGGAGCTGTTTCTTTCCCGCTCTGGCACGATAGTCTGGGCTGGGCACGAACGCAGAATAAAATCTAGTTGGGCAACAATAGCACATACGTTCTCTTGTTACAGGTAACGACAACATAACATTATAATAAGGCAGCTTCCAAAGTGGTGATATCGCACTTGTATAATGCTTCTAAAGTGATTTAACTGGCTGCGCTACAATAGCACATACTTTCTCTATTTATTGGTATCGATAACATAACGTTTTAATATGGCAACTTCTATAGTGGTGCTACTATACTGCTTTTGTAATGGATCGAATATCGGTGATGTAACAGAACACACTCTCTCTTCTTATTGGAGCGGATACATAATATCAAAATACAGAAACATTTATTCTACTAACGGTTCATCTATCTCATGAACAACTCCTAACCAAGCCATTGAGCTCTGGAGTCCCTATACCTTCTGTTGTACTGTATCACAGTGAATTATAAACAATGTTAGCAACTAGCGTTTTTGAAATAATTTGTTATGTGTAAGAAATATCCACTCCCTTGCAATAGAAGCCAGTTTTATCTGTTAGTAAGGTATTTTTTTTATTCTTACATATGGTGCTCTCACGCAGGAAAACCGAACGAGCAAAACTGGGCGATTGTTGGCTCATTCAAGATAATACCGAAAAAAAAAACGCTATAACACAGACAGGTATCCCCAGCATGTGGCCTTTTAACTCTTTTACTTTCAAACTAAGCTATCAATAGGTCCGCATTCTTGGAACGGCTAAGGACCCAACCGAACACAGCGAGATGGGGAAACGTTTCAACCGAGACCACTCACTTCCCAACCAGGTTACCAACTCGTCCGAATATTTACAAGAGCTCACCGAACACAGAACACAGCCGGCGCGCGAAGAAGGCAGCAGGCGCTCGCTTCTTCCAACGCTCGAGCGCAGGCGGCAGCGCAAGTAGAAATTGGACGTCTTGATGAAGCCCCGGAGCTCATTACGCTCTCAAACACGAGACGCGCGTAAGCCATTGACAAATGGAATCGCCGCGTACTATAAAAGGATTTGCGATTTATTTTCATTAAATAGACTTAATGAGAAATGGAATGCTTAATCTGTTTAGGCATCCGCGTGTCTGACGAAAGCAGAATCCGGAGGAGGTAAATTACGTCGAAAGTTAAATGAAAACACATAGCTCCTGAGGAGCGCTCGTTCGCTTCGACTGGATGTGGGGAATAACTCGTCGCGCCCTTCGCAACTCTCTTGTCTGCCTGCCGCGGAATCGCTTCAACGGCGGAGTATTTTCCGGCCAATTTATTCATTTCGCCCGGCCGCTGCTGAAATACGAGTCTTCGCGGCGAGGAAGAGGGAAGACGGAGGCGGCGGGGTAGGTGGGGGGGGGGCGAGACTCGAATCGCTGAGGGTTAGCGATCTCGTGACTCGGGGAGCGACGTACGGGTGCGGTCTTGGGCGCGCACCTGCCAAAGAGCGGCGCCCGCGTCGCTGGGTTTCTTCGCTCGCCGCGCCCCACGCGGAAGCCCAAGGCGAGCGCCTTCTGCGGAAGTACAAGGCGGCGTGGCGCAGCGCGGCGTGGGCGGCGGCGAAACGCGGCCTTTAAACGAGGCAACCAAAACCCGGCCGCGGGTGGGCAGGGAGGCAGGGGGAGGAATAAGAGTGCGGGAATTCAGTGCGCGGGTGGTGGTTGCAGGGCAGGCGGGCCTGGTAGCCGGGCCAGTGTGGCGGTCGTGAGCGAGGCAAAGGGTGGCGGGGAGGGCGGGGCTTTATGGAGGCAACCAAACGGCGCGTGGGGGGGGGAGTAAGAGTGGCGGGGAGGCGAGGTGCAGTGGGTGGTTGTGCAGGCGGAGACGGGCCTGGCACGCCGGCGAGTTGTCACGGCAAGGGTGCGGGGTGAGCGGAGCCGGGCGGGGCGGAGGGACGGGTCTTTAACGGGCAACCAATACGGCGCGGGGTGAGGCGGGGAGGAAAAAAGGGCGGGGAGGCGAGTCGGACGGATACGGCGGGAGGGCGAAGGTATTGCTGCGGGTGACTGGTGTGGCAGGCGACGAGGAGGGCCCGCGTTGCGGGCGGGCGGTGAACTCGGTGATGTCGGCCAGGGGCTGCATGGCGGCGTAGGCAGCTTGAGCGAGTCGTCATGGTCGGGATGTGAGCGAGGCGGGCGGGCTCCGGGCGGGGCGGGGAGGGCAGAGCTGGTGGGACAAGCGTAGAGTGGGGGCGAGCGGTGGGTCTGCGTAGGAGTGGCGAAGTTGGAAGCTTCTGGTAATGACTGCCCGAACAATTTCGGCAGTTTATTTCGGCCGTGACCCCGTCCGATGCGCTTCTGGAAAGTTTGGGAAAGAAATTTGGCGGAACGTCCATTCTTATGGACAAGAATTCCAATAGTCGACTCCGTGGACGACTGTGTCTAAAAGAAGGGTTCCATTGTTATTGGTTAGGTTGAGAACAAAACTGTAATTGTGGGAGGAATCCATTGAAATGAGTGACATTATAAACTCTTCGTTATGCCGTTTACTCTATTTTACACATTTCCCTTTCTTCCTTATTTTCTCTGTGTATCGCATCAAGAGCGAATTTATTTTTTTCAAAATTCTTGATTTATTCTATAAATGTTTTGCAAATTGCTCTAATTTCCACCTCTGTGGTTGAAATTTATCTCAATGGCAGTTTGCATATTTCATTACATATTGTACTTTTTACAGATTTATTATTTCAAGTCATTGTTTGTATATGTATGATGTTGCTTCACAGAACATGCTTACAAATATTTACCCTATCGCAGAGTAGAGTCTACTGAACTCAGCTGCACATTATGTGGTTAAAACCTTCTAGTCTATTTTTGATCATTAACAAGAAAGGATTGTGTTTGAAAAAAAAAAATGTTTGGTTAGAAGTGAAAACGGGCACTATTTGAGAAAATAAATGATATTTGAGAAACATCTTAAAAACTACTCAGTTTCAAGAGGATGACAAAGTAATTTATTTAAATAGAAACTTTTAATTTTAAACAGTTTTGACAATCATGACTGTGTATATCCCCGTGACAGCTAGTATGTATATACTTATCTGTTGTAGTGAATTTGTTTTAACGATATAGCCTGTGATTGTGCGTGTTTTATGGTGTAGAATTAGGCGTCCTATCACATATAATTTCCCTTCTTATAAGTTACGAATTTTTTTGTATAATGGCCACTTTAACCAAATAGAAATTAATGCGTCGAAGTCTTTTAAAATTGTGAGTACAATTTCAACACGGAAATTTAATTAAAACAATAATATGTAAACAATCAGAGAAAAAACTTTGCTCCATTTCGAAGAAAGAGAAGAAAGTAAGCAAAGTTAAAAAAAGTTCATAAAATCTTAAACCTAACCTTACACGACAATAATATAAAAGAAAATGTTTAGAAAATGGTTATGGTGAAGTGTACATCAAACTTTGGATAAATAATTCAAATAAAAAAAGACAGGAGACCTTGCTCACTTGGTTGTTTAAAAGAAGATACGCAGTGCAATCTGTAACGTGGTAGCTAAAATATTCCATTTTGCTTAATGATGACTACTCAGGCTATTTTGTAAACAAAGATAATTTGAAAAAATCTTTAAGAACGCCTCGAGCAGCGTAATTTACGTAAAATTTAAGATATTTTCACAATTAAAGATTTCGCTGACATTTTTACATATGGTATCGAAATATTTCATTACATTCTGAATTTGAAATCAAATAGTGAAACTTTCTGTGCGATTGAGAACCGAATCAAACACTGACGATTTGAGGAAAAATTACGTTGAATATAGCATTATGGTGAATCCTGTATTAAAATTTGCTTTTGGTTGTACAACTTAATTCTCCTTTATTCATTCACTTACGCCATGAAAATGGTAACTACTTAATATTGTTTGTGTATTGTAATTTAATTTTTGTTTTTTCCAGGTGCCAAATTGGCCGAGGAAGCAAAACATACCAGACAGGACAGTGGCATTCAGAGAATGATAAGACTAAAGTCAAGATGAAGTGAAGAAAAAGTGATTGAAATTTTATCTACCTCAACCAATTCTTTTATGAGAAAATATGTAAAAACTCAAGTTTATATATAACCCGAAGTTTCTTATGTAATGTTTATATAATAGTGAATGAAAAATACATTCCAAAAAAAACGAAATATCTAGATATTTTCATATCCTTCCGTCAATCATGAATTTCAAGTACTACAAATAATAATTTGTATATGTTTTTCAGGCCAAAAAGAAATAGGGAGATAAAGAAGGAGGAAAGAGAGGGGAAGAAAGTGTTTAAAGTAAAAATAGATATATTTTAAGTGTCATTAATAAGTGGCAATAATAAATTCAAGAATAAAATGTTGTGCCAACAAGTTATTTTTTTTAAAGTGCATATTTTCTTTTGAGATTTCTAGAGCTTACAAACAAAGAACAACCCACAATCTATTCAGTTCTCAACTCGATTGTGGTATATTTCTGAATTAAATAGATTCTCAACACTAACAACGTCTCTAGGCGCGAGTAAACGATATATTACGTTGGATTATGTTAATTAAAATTAAAGTGATTTACTAAGTACAACTCGAAATAGCTGAAAGAGTCACCCTCTGGGCAACAATGGCTTCACGGCCAAACAGTAACACGCCGTGAGTTCGGCGGCTAGCGTGTACCTTCACAAGCGAATGATCTGGAGCGGAAAATGATGAAGATGGAGACAAGCGTAAAATACGATCGGAGCGAGACGACGGCACATCGTAACCTAACAGCAAGAAGCACTTGCCAGAAAAAAAAAGGTGCGCCCGACAATGAGTGCCATCTGCCGCGCGGCACGAGCCACCGACAAAACAAACCGACTCCTGGACGGAAGCAAATTAATCATTAACGCATTAAGTTGAAAAATTAACATCCGTAGCCCTAATAGACCCCCTCCCCCGAAGACAATACGAATAATTACTGGTACACAACGGGGCCGCGCTGACCGGCGAGCGGTCGCGTCTTGCGGGGGCGGAGGGGGCGGGGACGCGAGGGAGACGAGCGAGGCGGCAGAAGGCCCAGTCATGGAAACGAACGAATCGTGCTTCTCCCCAGCGACCCGTTATTACAGCACAATCGACGATGGCGGCGGCGGCGGCGGCGGCGGCGGCGGCGGTCAGGCGGCAGTCGCTCACGGGGAGGCGATTGGCCGCCAGAAGAAATTCCGCAACTTGCGCCGGAGGCCATTAGGTGCGGGCCGGGGCCGGCGGAGAAGGCGGCCGGCGCCGCACAGTGGTCTGAGTAGGGCCCAAACCCGCGCTTACGACGCACGCCAAGCGACCTTTTAAAAAAAGATGCTGAAGGTCCATTCACAATGCAAACATAAGCATGGCGATAATTTAACAGATCTACGTCCATAAGCGGACTCCTTCACAATGCGTTCGCATAAGCGTAGCACGTAAGACATTAACTTAAAGGCGTGCAAGCTTCTGTGCTTATGCTTACGTAAGACATAAGAAATGAACCAATCACAGAACGGTAACTCAAAATAGAGAATCGAAATAGCGAAGTCGATAGACGAACTACGCCATATGGGCCATGGACACAGTCGATGCTTCGAAATTGATTCTCACATCCAAACAATAGTAAACTAGAATGTGTCACAGCCAATAGAAACTCTTATTTTGCTTACGTTTATGTTAGACATGGTAGTGTTAGTCGTAGTTTTAGTGCATGTTTTTTGTCGCGTGAAGTGGCGATGAACTTCCCCCCTGGATGGCTAGATTCGGCGCCAACCTTCAGAGAGACGAGGGGTTTTCCCATTCCGAGTGTCTCCCATCAGCGGGGCGCCGCCACAGCCAGGACGAGCTCTACGCTCTGCCTGGTCTCCTGACATGAGAAATGGTGTAGAGTATGTATACGTAAGTGTAAGTAAGGGGTGAGGATAGGACAAGGAAGGGAAAGGAAAGATCGTGCGCGGTACATGATTTGTTTTTTAGAGAACTGATGCGACATTGGCCAAGTGTTCATCAGAGAAACCAGGGAAAACTACCGACAAGAGCAGCCGGCCGCTTGACTTATCTTCGAGACAGCAGGTAAATTTCATGTACCTAGTGCCAAAAAATAATGTCACCGTCAGGTTTAGAACCCTAGGACCTCCCAGTCAATCTGACTGCAGAAATCACTGACACCAATAGCTCTGAGCCATCTGAGCAGGTCTAAAAGAAGTGTATTTACAGTCATATCGGCCTAGTATGGGGTTATTAGTGACCATATTACAACATTGTGTATTATATAAATGTCAAGATAAATTACGTACGTACGAATTCGTACAAAATTACATACGAATTTGGTTTCGGTTATACTGAACTTCTAGGGACCAACATTTTTTGTTCAATGTACGATATGCCAACAAAATAGTTTCTCCATAATGGTTCAGATTTTTAGTACAATATCGAAATACATTTAATTCAAAATTTCAATATCTTCATTTCGTCTCAAAACTCGGGACCTGCAGTAGCAAAAATTCTGCTGTCCAAAACTACACAAAAAGATTTCCTAAACATTACCACTCTGATTGCCCCAAAGCAATAAGTACAATAATTTTGGCAATAAATTAAATATGTTAACAAGAACAACCTTCAGAAATTCTGCAACAACAGTATACGTACAGTAAAAAAATTTTGTTACCTTCCAAAAATTTAGGAAAATTTGACGTTTTCTAATGCACGTGAACACCCAGTATTTAATGGCGGACAGTTTTTTCCATGCCTTGTTGCCGCATGACGTCAGCTAAGCGTCGTAAGCAGGGATGCACTGAATAAGTGAATCCAATCGGTATGCGCGGTACGAGATCAGGACGGATTAAATCAAACCAAATTTATATTTTCTGACAAAATGCGAACTGTTTCATTTTTTTCGATTTTCCTCGAGTAACTCGATATCAAACGAAGCCACGGACCACATATTATTCAGAAACTACATATAAGTAATGCAGATATCAGTTTTGTGGCTTGTCAAAAATATTTTACTGTTTGCTGTTTCCGATTTTTATTAGTAACTTTTGAAGATCCTCGTCCGAAGACTGCGCTTTTTCCACATTTGATTCTACATTGTCCACTATCTCAAAATATTTTAGTGCAGTCAAAATACCCTTGAATGATTCTCATAATAAGCAAATAATGTATATTATAATGTATATATAATTTGCATAATCAAGCAAATAATGTATATTCAATGCCACTGGGACAAACGTTTTATTTTCTAGAAAAACTTTGAAGAGAATCTAATGTATAAAAATTTATTAAATATAATAGCATTTTTATTTTCTAGTTATTCAATGCTTCTAGAATTCATACTTGTTAACAAAAAAATCTGTTTAAAATATTGTTATCTTGTGTTGGCGCTCGATGTGCGCGGTTCAGACCAGTGCGCCGTGAGCAGCGAGCGATGGCGGGGGCGGGGGCGGGAGCAGCGGGCTGGAAGATATAAGAGGAAGTTGGACGCGGTGGCCGAGGGTGGTGGGGCC